CGTACGCACGCACGCAGGCACTCACGCACCTCATACAAGCACGCAGGCCCGGGAAGGAACAACGAATGACTCACCGGATTGTGATTGGTGGATCGCCGCTGCTGACGCCACAGAACGCCAGCGCCCTCTTTCCTTGACTCAGTCTCGGAAACTCGAAACGGGTCGATGCTAGGCGGCACTGCAAACACATAGTCATCATGTACACAGCGACGTCGACACGCAGTGCGACGTCCGCAATGATAAGATTGAGTTAACGAAATGAACCGAAGCGTCGGCAGAGATGCTGTAGCCTTCACGCTGCAGAGTGAGACTAACTGCACACGTTGCTTATGCCACCTAGTAGACTGAGTGAATTTAGCCACGCGTATGCACATGCACGCACGCGCAACCCCATGGACTATACAATTGTGCACCTTTAACATGATAGATGTAAATTGTGTTAATAGATTATATAAATATATATATAGGAGATATAATTATGCACCTTTAACAGATAGATGTGAATTGTGTTAATAGATTATATATATATATAGGAGATATAATTATGCACGTTTTATTGTAATAGACGTATATATCTACCTTTGACGGTGACAACAACACGGCTGCGTGTCCCCTGTCCTGCGGATTCCTGGCTATGCAGGTGTACTCCCCCTCCATCCACATCCTCCACCACACTCTCCACCCGACCAGCATCCATCGGCTGACGGATGCTGCCTGTGATTGTCGGCAACCGCGCTCCCCCTGAAACCAACCAATGAGCGTCAGCGAATCTGAAGCAGGGGGTTTGGGTTTGGTTGGGCGGGGGTTATCTTTTGGTTGGCGGGGTTGTATTTTGGGCGGCGCGGGTTGTATTTTTTGGTGGGCGGGGGTAGTTTTTTCGTTGTCGACTGTCAGTGACCATACATCGCCATCGTCTTGAATACGCGCGTCCTTTGTAACGTGTTAGCAACGCACGACAAGCATTAGTGGAAATGCGCTTTTTAACGCAAACACAGCAGAAATATTAGCGACGGATCGCCGTGACGTCACTCGCGCTCATCGTTTGTATCGAAATGCGCGACTCTATCCACTCTTTAGCGACATTTCGCGTGAAATCGGAGTTGAAATGAGAGCCGGGTGACAATTATAATAGATCACGTGTGTTTGCGTGTTGCGTAGCGATACTGGCTGTGTGTGGGATAACATTAGCGATGGTGGGTTTTGCTGTGATATTAGGATGGTGGGAGAAGGCGGCTCCCCATCGCAGGCCACGCGTAACGCGAACGCTTGAGAAACCATCTCAAAGATGATTAATAACGTTACGTGTGTGTGCGTGTGTGTGTGTGTGTGTGTGCGTGCGTGCGTGCGTGCGTGCTTGCGGTGTGTGTGTGTGGTGTGTGGCCGCGCCGCGCGCGTAGTGTGTGTGCGCGCGGATGTGTGTGTCGCGTGGTGTGCGCCGTGTGGGTGTGGGGGGTGTGTGTGTGCGCGGCGGTCGTGTTGTGTTGTGTGCGTGTGTGTGTGCTGGCTGTGTGTTGTGGATGTGTGTGTGTGTGTGTGGTCTGTGTGTGTGTGTGTTGTGTTGTGGGTGTGCTGTGCTGCGTCTGTGTTGTGTGTGTTGTGTGTGTGTTGCGTGTGTGTGTGCGTGTGGGTGTGTGCGCAGTGTGTGTGCTGGTGGGATAAGGACTCATGGCTGTGTCTACTTGAGAGAGAGAACGCCTCCTTGCAAGTGCTGGTAGAGGAAGCTCGTGTGTGGTAGAGATGGAACTCGAGTAGGAGAACATGAGGGGGCGGTCACGCACGGTGAGTTAGAGAGAGGAGTAAAAAAAAAGGGAGGGGCAGTAGCGGAATCCTCTTGTAAAGCGCGGAGTTGATGTGTGCTCTAGAGCGGTTCACCCGTGTAATCGGTGGGTTAGTGGCGCACCACATCATTCACGCTGCAAACTGCACACGTTCTAGCAAGCACAACTATATATATAACCCGCGCTAAAATCTCGCCTTTCAACTTTACGGAGCGCAGTTAACTGCGCTAGAGAGGGACAGACAGGCATAGCTGCGTGATATTGTAGAGGAGAGAGATTCATTCCCGAGGCCCGTCAGACAAAGCACTGCAATCCAGCCGCGGCCAAAAGTAGACGACGGTGACGAGCGCCATCTGATTACGAACTACAAGCATGGCCGTCAGAAAGAATGACTGAGGCAGGGAAAAGAATCACAGAGAACGCTTCGCTCTCTCGCGAATGAGTGAGAATATTGCGCGCGTGGTGTGCGGCGTGTGCTGTGTGTGTGTGTGTGTGTTGGTGTTGTGTGCGTGTGTGTGTGTGTGCTGTTGTGTGTGTGTGGTGTGTGTGTTTGTACACTTGGTTTGCGCGCGTGTGCGTGTTTGTCTTTGCATTTGTTTTTGCATGTGTATGATTGTGTGTTATATGCCTCTTTCTCTCTCTCCCCCTCTCTCTCTCTCTCTCTCTCTCTCTCTCTCTCTCTCTCTTCTCTCGCCTGTGTGGGCTCGTGCGTTTGTAATAGTTAGTTATAGAGGATAGGCACAGCAGCGGAACGGCGTGTTAAACCACTGAAGAGCCACTCACTACGAAAAGCTATTAAACCCGGCTAGAGCCGGGGATGTGTGACAGCGACCACGCCGACACAAGCGCCGAGTCACGTGACCGGCAGACAGAAACCAACGTTAGTACGAAACTCATTAACAAGAAATTGTTTAACTCGACCACGTCAACGCACGATGACAGAGATATAGACAGAGAGAGAGACATCGAAAGAGAAAGAGAGATAGAGAAATAGAGAGAGAGAGACCGAGAGAGAATAGAGAGAGAGAAAGAGAAAAAGGGAAGGAATGAGAAAATCAAAGGAGAAAGTGTGAGCGTGAAAGAAGGAGTGAGAAGGGTGTGAGTAAGACGGCCGATGCTGTGAGTGAGAGAAAGAACAGGGAAGGAGAAAGATTAGAGAGATAGGGAGCTTCTTGGATTTATCAGAGCAAGCTTCGCGTTACCTATAGCAACGAAAGACCACGTGCTGCTCTACCAGACGAAACATACCGCATGAGACATCTCAAAGAAACAAGATATCGCTTCTATTCAAACATTCGACTGTCAGGCAACAGCGCCCTCTATATGCGACTCATCGCCGCCAGGTGTCGACCCTCGATCGCCTACCTTTTTCCCACGTGACAGATTCAATCGCGATGTCCGCTCACGTGACACTTGATCGTCAGGTCTTATTGGCCACCGCCCGTGATGTCGGGCATCGCGGCGAATGAATGCGGCGACCTATAGATCGAGAAAAGATTTTAAAAAACGAATAAAGATAAAAGAAATAAGTCTGATAAGAGATGAAGACTGCTTGCAATAAAAGCAAAGCCGCGTTACGCGTAAAAAATAACGGCGAAACGATTTTCGGAATTGCTTATTCTTCGTCGCAGCGATTAAGCTCAGCTAGTAACGGTCTCCTCTCCTTCCTCTCTCCCTTCCTCTCTCACCCCTCTCTCTCCCTCTCTCTCTCTCTCTCCTCTCTCTCTCTCTCTTGTCTCTCTCCTCTCTCTCTCTGCCCCTACTCTATCTATCTCTCTCTCCCTCTCTCTCTCTATTTCTGCCCTACTCTATCTCTCTCTCTTCTCTCTCTCTCTCTCTCTCTCTCTCGCTCTCACCCTCTCTCTCCCTCTCCTCCCTCTCTCTCTCTCTCTCTCTCTTTCTGCCCTACTGTATCTCTCTCTCTCTCCCTCTTTCTGTCTCTCTCCCCTCTGTCTCTCTCTCTTCTGCCCTACTCTATCTTTCTCTTTCTTTCTGTCTCTCTTATCTCTCTCTCTCTCTTTCTTGCCCTACTCTATTCTCTATCTCTCTTTCTGTCTCTCTCTCCCTCTCTCCCCCTCTCCCTCCCTCTCCCTCTCTCTCACTAATCGCCTCTTGCTCTCTGAGAGCGTGACCAGTCACCGCGTGCCTGCTGATAACGCACAGCCGCCCACATATATGCAGGCAACACGGCGAGGCGGAAAGAAGCTAAACACCTCATCCTCCTCCCCTCCCTCTTTTCTCTTCCCCTCCCTTACTTCATTCTACTCCGCTCTCCCTCTCCTCGTTCTCCCTTCCCTCCTCATTCTCCAGCCTTCCTTTCTTCATACTCCTCCCCCTCTTTCTCCTCATCTCCCCCTCCCCTCCTCATTCTTCCCCTCCCCTCTCCTCATTCTCCCCCTCTCCCTCCTCATTCTCCCCTCTCCCTCCTCATTTCTTCCTCTCCCCTCCTCATTCTCCTCCTCCCCCTCCTCATTCTCCCCTCCTCATTCTCCCCCTTCCTCTCCTCATTCTCCTCCTCCCCTCTCTCATTCTCCCTCCCCTCCTCATTCTCTCTGCTCCCCTCCACATTCTCCCCCTCTCCCTCCTCATTCTTCCCCCTGCCCCTCCTCATTCTCCCCCTCTCCCCTCCTCATTCTCCCTCCCCCCTGCATTCCCCCCTCTCCCCTCCTCATTCTCCCCCTCTCCTCCTCATTCTCTCCCTCTCCCCTCCTCATTCTCTCCCTCTCCCCTCCTCATTCTCTCCCTTCTCCCTCCTCACTTCTCCCCTCCCCTCCTCATTCTCCCCTCCCCTCCTCATTCTCCCCTCCCCCTCCTCATTCTCCTCCTTCCCCTTCTCATCTCCCTCATCCTCCTCTTCATCCTATCTCGCAGTAAATCTAGATCGCCAACGATTAAATTAAGAGCCTTTTCCAATTTTTCTCCCGCGCGCGCTATAAAAAAAGGAAGATGGCCGCCGCTTCTCTCGCATGCGAACAAACGCCGGCGGCCCCGCTTTTGTTTCTTAAGAGAATTAAAATATAGCCGGAGACCGTGGCGATAATTACGCGTCCAATTACGGCATCGTCGGGAGCTGCCGTAATCACGTTAGCCGTATCGAAAGATAACGAGTTGATTTATGAAACGCTCGTCGCGCCCCCTTGAGTCGGAATGCCGCTTACGTCGTAATGAAGGGCCGGCGGCCGACGAGCGGTGCGTCGGCGGAAGACGCGGAAGAGCGATTTTTCGATGGCAGGCTGAGTTGCTGGCGCGGAACATATACGAGAATATACGAGCGCGCGTATACACACATGGCTACATCCATGCGCGGAGTCCGGGCTACCGGAGTACTGATTGTTTTTCTCCTATTGAGCAAGGGCGCTTACTGGCGATGACAGAGGCGGTCATGGACAGTCGGCATGGGAAACCCGCCATAAATACAGGAGGATGTGTCTTCGTGTATTACGAAACACAATCCCTCCCAGCGCCAGGATCGTAACATGGGAATTCGGTTAGCTATGTTTTCGTTCATCAAAATATATAGAGATGACTGTGACACAATCCCGATTTCACATTACAGAACATTTGTAGAATGATTGATGGCGAACATTATGCAGATGATTTTTATTATCGGAACAAAACTACACGGGAGAGTTCATCTCATATATTTCTTAGAAAGTATCGTGCAATTACCACTCGAAATCTGCTAGCCGCTTACATCACATCTGTAACGACGGGATTTCTTCTGGCAGAGAACAACCTTCCGTTACAACTAGAGAACCCTCAGTTAGAACATAAGAATCCTCTGTTAAAATCCCCGTCATTGTACGGAGAGGGAATAACGTTGGCGGAGAGGAGCGAATGGCAGCGGTTGCATTATTGCATGTGATGCGGCACAATCATTTAAGGAAGAAACTATCTTGCATCCGCACCCGCACCCGCACCCGCACCCGCACCCGCGCTCGCTCACTCACGGGATGCACCCTTGTTTATTGGCTCTCTCGCGAGATCTCGCGCGCGCTGCTTACCGAACACGTTCACGCGGCCCATGTGCTCGGCGGCGCCATGTTGGTTTCTCGCCGTACACTGGAAGGCGCCACCGTCCTCCACGCGGACGTTGCTCCTGTTCAGATAACTAACAACGTCTCCGTTGTCGAGCCGGTAGGTCGTGATGGTCACGCGGTCGGAGCCTGTGATCGGCAGGTCATCGAGTGTCCAGAGCATCTGCGGGGGCGGGTTGCCGGACGCTTGGCACTGCAGGGAGACGGCCGAGCCACGGTAGATGGTCAGCTCTCCAAAGCCGGACGTGATGGCGGGCGGTGCAGCTATGCAGCAGAGAGAGAGATGTGTGAGTGCGCATGCGCGAAGGCGAGGCGTGAGAATAATGTAGATGTAACGCGTTGATGAAATCATCACCTAGTTCTTATCGACAGACCGACCGACCGACCGACCGACCGACCGACCGACCGACCGACCGACCGACCGACCGACCGACCGACCGACCGAACGACCGACCGACCGACCGACTGATCGACCGACTGATCGACCGACCGCC